GAGAGGCTCATCCTCGTCTTCGCTTGGTGCATCCTCCCCCTTGTGTACGGCGTTGAGCTTGCCGGACTGCTTGAAGACCCAACATTCTCTGTGAGTATGATTAGCGGGTTTACCAGGGGTGCCATGTATCTTACATATTTGGTCCAGAATTTTGTTTAGGCTGGACAACTCGTCTCTGGCGCCTTTAGAGGGCGGCTTTTGCTGGCCTGGCCGAGAGCTTTTGAATCCGGCGTTTACTGTTGTGCTCTTCGTGCTGTCTTCTTTATTCCGGCGTTTGTTATTGCTGTTGCACCGTGATTTCCTGTTTCCATCTCTAACTTCAGATGTACTGGGGTTGCTGGTGCTGCATCTGGCTAGCCAGCTGTCCTCACCCGCGCAAAAGCGGATCATCCATACTATAAAGGTTATGACTAAATGAATTACGATCTGACACAGGAGAATAAGAACAAATATAACCATGTATTAAGGGGAGAAGGTGCTTATTTCCATAGTATAAAGGTGTTTTCATGATATTCTGTGCTCCAATGGTCTTGAACTCTTGATGGTACCAATTTTATCTTTCTGGGAGAAATGCATTTGATCAAGAGTCTTTACAGAAATAGAACTTCCACACTTGCTAATTCCCAAACCATTGTAGAAATGGTAACTGAATGGGTGTTCTTTTTTTATCACCTCTGAATTTAAGGAATATATTTGTTAATATATCAATGCTCATTGGTGCCATGTCTGGTTCTTAGGTGCATGCCTGGAAGCTTAAATCTGTAATCAAGTTATGAAATAGAGTGTTGTAAGAGACACTTCAGAGGTATGTGCATGCATTTAGACCTTAATTATCCCTTGCTTAGTATTGTTTGGTTTGTGTGATTCATGCTTCAATGATTTCTTCACTAGTAATTTGACGGCGCAGTACTACGGCAGTAGTATACTTTGGTGTAGAAATAAAGGATGACATGCTTTACGTTGCAGATATTTCTTTGTGCCTTGACTCTGGCTCTATGCTTATTAACCATCTTAGCGAGCTTTAGGACTTCAAAAGTTATCATTTCGAGGATCATGATTTCCTATGTTTTTGGCCAAGATGGCACACATGAATAGTTTGTCAAGGATGTACCAAATCTTATGTTTTTCCTTCCGTTTATTGCATTTATGGCTGCAAACTATATTCTCAGATTCTGGGCTGGGTGTATAAACATATATTCCGCACACTGAATTCAATTTTTTAACTTCCTATCGTGGCCTTTCGTTTGTTTTGTTCATCTGATGTTTCCTTTGGTGATGCTTACAGATTACACCTTCTTTGTAGAAATAAGGTCACACTTCAATCGATTAGAAATGTTTCTTTTCTTGCAAAAGTTTGTTTGACTGCTGCGTGGTCGCATCAGGCCCATGCCGCCACCGCCGCCGCCGCCACTGGATGGCTCCGTCGGTCGGGAGGGAAGAAGGGGATCGAGGGAGGGGAGAGCACGGGAGAGAAGGCGAGCTCGCGGCTGACTGAATTCAATTGCATGCTCTGTTGTTTGTGTTTGGGAAGCAAATGTACGTGGGTGAGTTATTTCTTTTGTGTAAAGGTCTCTTCCATGCTGGTAAATCTATTCCTTTGCATGTTCTGTTCATGACTGACTCTGTTCTTGTTTTATCTTTTTTTACCTTTGCGGGAGTTGTTCTATTCTATCCCTCGAGGTAAATTTGCTGGGCAATGGCTTACTCCTCTCGTGTGTTCTGTTAGTTTGACAGAGGAATTACTAGCTCTGCTTACAATTTGGTGTGCCTGTTATTTGGCAAACTTTCAGGTGATCTGTAGTACTTTGTAAATCTATCGTGTGTTTTGTTACATTGGCTCTTAGCTTGTCTCCATAGGTACACTATTAAATTGCTGCATGCAGTATTCAGTTCCAAATTTTGCCTGACTGCCTAAATGCCTGAAGGATTAGAGGAATGATAAACAGATAATTTGCTAGCTTCTTTCTAGCATGCTTATACAATTATATTATTAAATGACGCAGGATCGCACGGTGTAGAGTTCAGCGGCGCTGCCTAATTGAGGCTCATAATTCAGCGGCGCTGCCGATTGGCTATTTGTTCTCATCTAGCTTACGAAGTTAAGTGATATCCTTGGAATACCAGAGACTGAACTAAAGTTCATACCTGAAGCTTGGTCATAGGCTAAATATCTTATGATGCCCATAAACTGGTTCTATGCTTAATATAGCCTTCCTTTTTCTGACACGCCTACCCTATCATCCTTCACTACGACAGATCATAGAATGCATACAAGTGCTGCAATGCACATATGCGTATGGGTATTATCTCGATGATAAAGGACCACAAGATGATGCAGACGAACATGCTTGCTGCAGGTTTTGCCTTTTTTATTTCAAAAATCTAATATGGCTTGCCTATTTTTCATGGGAAAACTAATGGTACCTTATTTAGTCCAACTACATCGGATGTTGAGCCTGATTATTACTATTCCATACTATAAAGGTTATGATTAAATGAATTACGATCTGACACAGGAGAAGAAGAACAAATATAACCATGTATTAAGGGGAGAAGGTGCTTATTTCCATAGTATAAAGGTGTTTTCATGATATTCTATGCTCCAATGGTCTTGAACTCTTGATGGTACCAATTTTATCTTTCTGGGAGAAATGCATTTGATCAAGAGTCTTTACAGAAATAGAACTTCCACACTTGCTAATTCCCAAACCATTGTAGAAATGGTAACTAAATGGGTGTTCTTTTTTTATCACCTCTGAATTTAAGGAATATATTTGCTAATATATCAATGCTCATTGGTGCCATGTCTGGTTCTTAGGTGCATGCCTGGAAGCTTAAATCTGTAATCAAGTTATGAAACAGAGTGTTGTAAGAGACACTTCTATAAGCAGAGGTATGTGCATGCATTTAGACCTTAATTATCCCTTGCTTAGTACTGTTTAGTTTGTGTGATTCATGCTTCAATGATTTCTTCACTTAGTAATTAGACAGTGCAGTACTACGGCAGTAGTATACTTTGGTGTAGAAATAAAGGATGACATGCTTTACGTGCAGATATTTCTTTGTGCCTTGACTCTGGCTCTATGCTTATTAATCATCTTAGCGAGCTTTAGGACTTCGAAAGTTGTCATTTCGAGGATCATGATTTCCTATGTTTTTGGCCAAGATGGCACACATGAATAGTCTGTCAAGGATGTACCAAATCTTATGTTTTTCCTTCCATTTATTGCATTTATGGCTGCAAATTGTATTCTCAGATTCTAGGCTGGGTATATAAACATATATTCCGCACACTGAATTCAATTTTTTTACTTCCTATCGTGGCCTTTCGTTTGTTTTGTTCGTCTGATGTTTCCTTTGGTAATGCTTACAGATTACACCTTCTTTGTAGAAATAGGGTCACACTTCAATCGATTAGAAAAGTTTCTTTTCTTGCAAAATTTTGTTTTTTTGCTTACATTGCCAAGGTTTGTTCACTTCGTCACCATTGTGGTGATGTCAGTATCTTTGTGAAATAGGAAAAGTAGATACCCATAATCTTTACTTGCTGTAAACACTAATATGAAATTGTACCTTTTCCCTACGAGAGATAAAAAATCATGTTTGAATTTATGTGTGCCCCACATAGGCGGACAATTCTTTAAATGATGGACACAATAATGTACCCACCAACATGACAACTTTGTTAACTTAATCCCTATAATATACATATCTTTAACCTTGGATGTGCCAATCATCAATTGTTGTGGGAGTGTGCCTGATGATGCGCGTCTATGTTACAAACTCAGTGTTTCTTTTTCTTTTTACCATAACTGATTCGCTGAATTCAATAGTGCACTGGTTTCTGCAAGATCAACTATACGTATGTACATTGGTTCTCTTTAATACATCACAGATAACCTGGCGAGGACAAATATTTCACTAGCAGTCCAGCAGGGGAGGACGTTGATGAATCCTGCATGCATGCATGGTTTATTTTTATGCTTTAGTTGTTGATGTTCATAAAGTGATGACAGATGGCTTCATTTGCGTTTGGTTATACACAGCAAAGACCACCAAGATCCGAAATCTGTGCATTCAGGCTACGAGTCAAAAATACATCACGTATTGGTTGAGTGTCATCGGAACAATCAAGAAGATTGCATGCTTGCTTGAGTTCATGTGTTTTTTGGTGGACTATATATCCAAGTATTTCTTACAAAGAATTAAAAATTAAGGCCAAAAGATGTTATCATTCAGAAGCAAACTTAGAATGGCACTAAGCTGTTATCATCAGAATTCGACAGTGCAGTGCCAAAAAAAACTCCGAGTAAACAAAGAACATACCCAATTCTGTCTTCCAAAGAAAGATCATTAGTTTACAGCCCCCTGCTTTCTTAGAAACTATACTTTGTAATTTCCCTTGGTATGAGACAATTTTCACATTGGTCGGAAAATCAAGAGTATGAGCAACCTGTGTGTACCAAGCTCTAGGAACTTCAGAAATAAAGAAGGAGAAGCTTTTACACACAAGACACTTCTTTTTCACATTTCTTTAGCATAATTGGTACACGATTCGTGGCCATGTTTCGCATCCTGCTACAAGATTGAGTTTGTGGTGGCTTCCATTTATATTTGAGCCAGGTTTATAATTTCTCATCGGGCTTTGCCTCCGTGACCATTTATAGCCACCTGGGTTTTATATATTTAATTTCTGTTTCTTAGCATTCAAATGGTATATACTAATCAACTTATATCTTTCTGTTCACTACTAACAGATGTCACTAGAAGCATCAATTTTCACTGGTGCTGACATTTTCTGTTATACTAGAATTGATATTTGTTGCTTAGTTTGTGATGCTTCAGGTCAATAATAATAACCTTTAAGTTCAGTTCCATCAGTTGCGTCTCTTTAGTAGCATTCAGAACAAATTTAGAAGCTTTCAAATATGTAAATATACTCACTAGAGCTAATATGTTAACTGACTGAATTTGAGCAGGTTGGTATGATGCTGCGAGGCATGGGGTTTGACGATACAACCTTCCTCTACGTTGCCTCCGGTAAAATATACAATGCTGCAAAATACATGGGTCCCCTTCGCCAGATGTTCCCTCTTTTACAAACCAAGGACACTCTTGCATTGTCTGAAGAGCTTGCTGAGTTTGAGGTATTGTTTCCGCCAGCCAGCCCATCAGCCTAGCTGGATGTCGTTCTGAATGTCAGATGAATATGCATGCATTGAACTGTTCATCAATTCACATTGAATCTTCATACCGTTACTCACCAACCTATTCTCTGTAGGGGTACTCCTCTCAGTTAGCAGCATTAGATTACACCGTCTGTGTTCAGAGCGAAGTGTTTGTGACGATTCAAGGGGGGGCTTCCCTCACTTTTTGATGGGACACAGGCGTTACCTGTTAGGAGGGAATGCAAAGACAATAAAACCCGACAAACGGAAGCTGGTCTTATCTTTTGACGACCGAAATATCAGGTCAGTTTGAGCTGCCATTATATCGTCAACAAAGTATTACAAATCACACCGAATCAGTTTCATTTTTGAGTATATGCTGGAATCTTTCACCAAATCAAACTGCTGAAGCAGTTCCCTGCCCTTGTTATTCCTTCACCATCCAAGACTGTAGCTATTGCCTACTTTTCGGAACGCATTAGCCATGTTAACAAATTGAAATACATCTCCGAGTTGACCTTCACATACATGCTCTAAATGTTTGCCCATCTTTGCTTAACGTGTAAATGGATATAGTGGTATATGAAACTCAAATTGTTTCTTTGAACTGCAGATAGAGTCGATTCAAGCACCACATGCTGGAATACTACACCATAGTGACATAAGGGGCATCGCATTCAGTAAACATAATGATTCCATATACACCTTCCCAGTGCCTGATTGCATGTGCCAACAAGATGGAATATGATCTACGCGTTAGCATACATAACTGAGGGATGCATATCCTCTGCCTTTGTGCAACAAAGGTACCAAAGGCATGGCATTGTTGACTGCATGATCAGGATTTGATGGTCATGATGAAAACTAGAGTGAAATAAAGCATTTGGTGCTTCTCAGGAGATTCTGAAACCCTCTGGCATACCCCAAACCGTTCGATGCTGGATATAATGTTGAAAATATGCCCTAGAGGCAATAATAAAGTGGTTATTATTATATTTCTTTGTTCATGATAATTGTCTATTGTTCATGCTATAATTGTGTTATCCGGAAATCGTAATACATGTGTGAATACATAGACCACAACACGTCCCTAGTGAGTCTCTAGTTGACTAGCTCGTTGATCAAAAGATAGTCATGGTTTCCTGACTATGGACATTGGATGTCATTGATAACGGGATCACATCATTAGGAGAATGATGTGATGGACAAGACCCAATCCTAAGTATAGCTCAAAGATCGTGTAGTTCGTTTGCTATAGCTTTTCCGAATGTCAAGTATCATTTCCTTAGACCATGAGATTGTGCAACTCCTGGATACCGTAGGAGTGCCTTGGGTGTGCCAAACGTCACAACGTAACTGGGTAACTATAAAGGTACACTACAGGTATCTCCGAAAGTGTCTGTTGGGTTGGCACGAATCGAGACTGGGATTTGTCACTCCGTATGATGCAGAGGTATCTCTGGGCCCACTCGGTAATGCATCATCATAATGAGCTCAATGTGACCAAATGGTTGATCATGGGATCATGCATTACGGTGTGACTTGCCGGTAACGAGATTGAACGAGGTATTGGGATACCGACGATCGAGTCTCGGGCAAGTAACGTACCGATTGACAAGGGGAATTGTATATGGATTGATTGAATCCTCGACATCGTGGTTCATACGATGAGATCATCGAGGAGCATGTGGGAGCCAACATGGGTATCCAGATCCCGCTGTTGGTTATTGATCGGAGAGTTGTCTTGGTCATGTCTGCGTGTCTCCCGAACCCGTAGGGTCTACACACTTAAGGTTCGGTGACACTAGGGTTGTTGAGATATTAGTATACGGTAACCCGAAAGTTGTTCGGAGTCCCGGATGAGATCCCGGACGTCACGAGGAGTTCCGGAATGGTCCGGAGGTGAAGATTTATATATAGGAAGTCAAGTTTCGGCCATCGGGAAAGTTTCGGGGGTAATCGGTATTGTACCGGGACCACCAGAAGGATCCCGAGGGTCCACCGGGTGGGGCCACCTATCTCGGAGGGCCCCATGGGCTGAATTGGGAGGGTAACCAGCCCCTAGTGGGCTGGTGCGCCCCCCCATAGGCCTCCCCCTGCGCCTAGGGTTGGAAACCCTAGGGGTGGGGTGCCCCACTTGCCTTGGGGGGCAAGCCACCCCCTTGGCCGCCGCCCCCCTTGGAGATGGCATCTCCTAGGGCCGGCGCCCCCCTAGGGGTCCTATAAATAGTGGGGGGGGAGGGCAGCCGCACCCTAGCCCCTGGCCTCTCCCTCTCCCTCCCGTGACACTCCTCTGTCTCCCTGTGGTTGGCGAAGCCCTGCGGAGATCACCATTGCTTCCACCACCACGCCGTCGTGCTGCTGGATCTTCATCAACCTCTCCTTCCCCCTTGCTAGATCAAGTTGGAGGAGACTCTTCCCAACCGTACGTGTGTTGAACGCGGAGGTGCCGTCCGTTCGGCGCTAGGTCATCGGTGATTTGGATCACGACGAGTACGACTCCATCAACCCCGTTCTCTTGAATGCTTCCGTGCACGATCTACAAGGGTATGTAGATGCACTCCTCTCTCCCTCGTTGCTAGATGACTCCATAGATTGATCTTGGTGATGCGTAGAAAATTTTAAAATTATGCTACGTTCCCCAACAGTGGCATCATGAGCTAGGTCTATGCGTAGTTTCTATGCACGAGTAGAACACAAAGTAGTTGTGGGTGTGGATATTGTCAATTTTCTTGCCATTACTAGTCTTATCTTGAGTCGGCGGCATCGTGGGATGAAGTGGCCCGGACCGACCTTAAACGTACGCTTACGTGAGACTGGTTTCACCGATTGACATGCACTAGTTGCATAAGGTGGCTGGCGGGTGTCTGTCTCTCCCACTTTAGTCGGATCAGATTCGATGAAAAGGGTCCTTATGAAGGGTAAATAGAAATTGGCATATCACGTTGTGGTTTTGGCGTAGGTAAGAAACGTTCTTGCTAGAAACCTATAGCAGCCACGTAAAAACTTGCAACACCAATTAGAGGACGTCTAACTTGTTTTTGCAGCATGTGCCGTGTGATGTGATATGGCCAAAAGGATGTGATGAATGATATATGTGATGTATGAGATTGATCATGTTCTTGTAATAGGAATCACGACTTGCATGTCGATGAGTATGACAACCGGCAGGAGCCATAGGAGTTGTCTTTATTTATTTATGACATGCGTGTCAACATAAACATCATGTAATTACTTTACTTTATAGCTAAAGCGTTAGCCATAGTAGTAGAAGTAATAGATGACGAGACAACTTCAAGAAGACACGATGATGGAGATCATGGTGTCATGCCGGTGACAACGATGATCATGGAGCCCCGAAGATGGAGACCAAAAGGAGCAAATGATATTGGCCATATCATGTCACTATTTGATTGCATGTGATGTTTATCATGTTTTACATCTTATTTGCTTAGAACGACGGTAGCTTAAATAAGATGATCCCTCGTAATAATTTCAAGAAAGTGTTCCCCCTAACTGTGCACCGTTGCGAAGGTTCGTTGTTTTGAAGCACCACGCGATGATCGGGTGTGATAGATTCTAACGTTCGAATACAACGGGTGTAAGCCATATTTACACACGCAATACACTTAGGTTGACTTGACGAGCCTAGCATGTACAGACATGGCCTCGGAACACGGAAGACCGAAAGGTCAAGCATGAGTCGTATAGAAGATACGGTCAACATGAAGATGTTCACCAATGTTGACTAGTCTGTCTCACGTGATGATCAGACACGGCCTAGTTAACTCGGATCATGTTTCACTTAGATGACTGGAGGGATGTCTATCTGAGTGGGAGTTCATTGAATAATTTGATTAGATGAACTTAATTATCATGAAATTAGTCTAAAATCTTTACAATATGTCTTGTAGATCAAATGGCCCACGTTGTCCTCAACTTCAACGCGTTCCTAGAGAAAACCAAGCTGAAAGATGATGGCAGCAACTATACGGACTGGGTCCGGAACCTGAGGATCATCCTCATAGCTACCAAGAAAGATTATGTCCTAGAAGCACCGCTAGGTGATGCACCCATCCCAGAGAACCAAGACGTTATGGACGCTTGGCAGTCACGTGCTGATGATTACTCCCTCGTTCAGTGTGGCATGCTTTACAGCTTAGAACCGGGGCTCCAAAAGCGTTTTGAGAGACACGGAGCATATGAGATGTTCGAAGAGCTGAAAATGGTTTTCCAAGCTCATGCCCGGGTCAAGAGATATGAAGTCTCCGACAAGTTCTTCAGCTGTATGATGGAGGAAAATAGTTCTGTTAGTGAGCACATACTCAAAATGTCTGGGTTGCATAACCGCTTAACTCAGATGGGAGTTAATCTTCCGGATGACACGATCATTGACAGAATCCTTCAGTCGCTTCCACCGAGCTACAAGAGCTTTTTGATGAACTTCAATATGCAGGGGATGGAAAAGACCATTCCTGAGGTATATTCAATGCTGAAATCAGCAGAGGTGGAAATCAAAAAGGAACATCAAGTATTGATGGTGAATAAAACCACTAAGTTCAAGAAAGGCAAGGGTAAGAAGAACTTCAAGAAGGACGGCAAGGGAGTTGCCGCGCCCGGTAAGCAAGCTGCCGGGAAGAAGCCAAAGAATGGACCCAAGCCTGAGACTGAGTGTTTTTATTGCAAGGGAAGTGGTCACTAGAAGCGGAACTGCCCCAAATACTTAGCGGACAAGAAGGCCGGCAACACTAAAGGTATATGTGATATACATGTAATTGATGTGTACCTTACCAGTACTCGTAGTAGCTCCTGGGTATTTGATACCGGTGCGGTTGCTCACATTTGTAACTCAAAGCAGGAGCTGCGGAATAAGCGGAGACGAGCGAAGGACGAGGTGACGATGCGCGTCGGGAATGATTCCAAGGTCGATGTGATCGCCGTCGGCACGCTGCCTCTACATTTACCTATGGGATTAGTTTTAAACCTAAATAATTGTTATTTAGTGCCAGCTTGGAGCATGAACATTGTATCAGGATCTCGTTTAATTCGAGATGGCTACTCATTTAAATCCGAGAATAATGGTTGTTCTATTTATATGAGAGATATGTTTTATGGTCATGCTCCGTTGGTGAATGGTTTATTCTTAATGAATCTCGAGCGTAATATTACACATATTCATAGTGTGAATACCAAAAGATGTAAGGTTGATAATGATAGTCCCACATACTTGTGGCACTGCCGTCTTGGTCACATAGGTGTCAAACGCATGAAGAAGCTCCATGCAGATGGACTTTTGGAGTCTCTTGATTACGAATCATTTGACACATGCGAACCATACCTCATGGGTAAAATGACCAAGACTTCGTTCTCAGGAACAATGGAGCGAGCAACCAACTTATTGGAAATCATACATACTGATGTGTGCGGTCCAATGAGTGTTGAGGCTCGCGGTGGCTATCGTTATGTTCTCACCCTCACTGATGACTTGAGTAGATATGGGTATGTCTACTTAATGAAACACAAGTCTAAGACCTTTGAAAAGTTCAAGGAATTTCAGAGCGAGGTTGAGAATCAATGTGACAGGAAAATCAAGTTCTTGCGATCAGATCGTGGGGGGAGAATACTTGACTCACGAATTTGGCACACACTTAAGAAAATATGGAATAGTTTCACAACTCACGCCGCCTGGAACACCTCAGCGTAATGGTGTGTCCGAACGTCATAATCGCACTCTATTGGATATGGTGC